ACCCGCCTCAGCCGCCACAGCAACCGTTCCGTCCCACGCCACCTGAACTGCCTCCGCCTTCCACCGTCAACACAGCTTCCAGCCCGCCATGGAAGCTGCTTCGTACGACGGTGACCTCCACCGAGCCTCCGCCCTCTGCCGTCAACACAGCGCTAGTCCGCCATGGAAGCTGCTTCGCAGGATGGCGACCTCCACCGAGCCTCCGCCCTCCGCCGTCAACACAGCGACCAGCCCACCATGGAAGCTGCTTCGTACGACGGCGACCTTCACCGAGCCTCCGCCTTCCGTCGTCAACACAGCGACCAGCCCGCCATGGAAGTTGTTTCGTACGACTGTATTGTTGTGGAGCAGCCCAAAATCCGTGGTAGCGCCGCCGTCTCACTCGACTTCGACCAGGCCCGACATGGCGGGTTGCCGCCGGAACCGAAGTGGTCTGCAACTAATAGACACGCAGCTTCCTCCGAGAAGAAGAGATGCGTCGGGAGCCTTGAGAGCTGCTGCCGCATAACCGGCGACGGAGAGTGGTATCACCGGAGGTGGAGAGAAGAGTGCAGTGGAATGAGATTTCAATTTGCAATTTAGGGGTTTATTTTTTAAAAATTTGACAAGTTTGAGGGACTTATTTGCAATATCAACAATTCTAATATATTACAATTTAAGTCATGGGCCCAATTTGTAATTGATAAAACTATAATTAATATTATAATATTTTGATTTAATATTCAATACTTATACATGTGTGGCTTAAAATAATAAAATAACAACAATAATACAAATAACAATAATAATAATAGTAATTTTTATGTAGTTCAATCGTTAGGGTATTTTGGTTATTTAAATAAAATCAAAGAAAATGTCGAAATCTAAATGACATAATCGACTTTTTGAAAGTAAAAACAAATTATCAAAATGAAATATAAAATTTTGAACTGAAATCCTTAGTTTTGACATAATCGGTTTAATCATAAATAACCAAAATAACCGACCAATAACCGACATAAATTATTTTAGTTATTATAAAAATATATTTATTATTAATATTGTTTTGGTATTTTAAATTTTTTACTGATTAAAAAAAATAGTATATATGTAACTGATACATAATGTGCAATGTAAGAGACATTAAGGGGCAATATGTACAGCACTACGGTGCATGCTGTCGGTCTGTATTGTGCATATTGAACCAACTGAAATCTTGTCCCAACTTAAATATAAAAGAACATAATTTATTGATTTATTGGTCCGGTTAACCGAATCATCTTAAAATAATCAAAATAATTTGTTATTTATATTAAAATTATTTCAATATTTTAATAATTTTATTTATTATTTTTATAATTATAGATTTCAAAAATACAATGTATATGTTATCTTATTAAATATTGCACTTTATATATCAATGCGTTGCACTTTATAAAAAAAAACGCTGCACTTTATAAAATATCACACAAAATAAATCTAAAAAACAGATATACATAATATTTATTTTGAGTATTTTTTTATTTAGCTCATGACAAAATATGTAATTTATAGCAATATTACAATATTTAAAAGGTATAATAAATAAAAAATATTAAAATGATAAATATACTTTTATAATTAAAAAA